AGTATTTTCCATCTTTTAACTTACTCTGGTTGGTGTGTAATGTATTGTGTTGTGATTTTGTAATATATTACATTGTAATTTTAATTTGCTTTCCTCTGATAACTGAAGAAATTGAATATCTTTTTGCATACTTATTAACCATTTGGATCTCTTTTGTAACATCTGTTCAAGTCTTTCTTCTATGCTATAAGGTTCAAGTGATTTTCCTGCCTCAGCCTCCCAAGCAGCTGGAATTACAGGCACCTGCCACCATGCCTGGCTAATTTTTTGTATTTTTAGTAAAGGCAGGGTTTCACCATGTTTGCCAGGTTGGTCTCAAACTCCTGACCTTGTGATCTACCTGCCTTAGCCTCCCAAAGCACTGGGATTACAGGCAGGAGCCACAGTACCCAGCCAAATTCTAGTACATATTTTTAACAGCCTGAAGGTAGCTCTGGATACTAGGGTTAGCTACTAAATTATTTGGTAATTGGTATAACTTCTCCCTCAAATTAAAGATTTTTATTTCTCAAGATAAGATACATTTTACAAAATTGGGATATATACATTTTGTAAATTATTCTGTACTTCATGCTATGAAGATAAGATACATTTTACAAAATTGGGATATATACATTTTGTAAATTATTCTGTACTTCTTCATGCTATGTACTTCTTCCATATGCCATGTCAGTGACTATTGATAATTTTTCCAATAAGAGGTTCAAAGACAGAAGAAAATTTATAATTAATAATGAATCAATTAATTATATTATTAAATTATTTTTATTTATTTATTTGGAGACAGAGTTTCACTCTATTGCCCAGGCTGGAGTACAGTGGAGTGATCTCAGCTCACTGTAACCACCGCCTTCCAGGTTCAAGTGATTCTCCTGTATCAGCCTTCCAAGTAGCTGGGGTTACAGACGTGCACCACCATGCCCAGCTAACTTTGTATTTCTAATAGAGACAGGTTTTTACCACATTGGCCAGGCTGGTCTTGAACTGCTGACCTCAGGTGATCCACTCGCCTTGGCCTCCCAATGTGCTGGGATTACAGGTGTGATTCACTGCGCCTAGCCTAAAATTATTTTTAAATTCTTTAGGTAAATGAGAATAGTTTCTGTTGATTGTTACTGTTATATTATTTGCTTTTCAAGGACTAATTTTTAGATATATGAATATTAACAGCAGTTTTTTTTGAGACAGAGTTTCACTGTTGTTGCCCAGGCTGCAGTGCAATGACAGGATCTTGGCTCACTGCAGCCTCCACCCTCTGGGCTCAAGTGATTCTCCTGCCTCAGCCTCCCAAGTAGCTGGGATTATAGGCGCCTGCCACCATGCCTGGCTAATTTTTTGTATTTTTAGTAGAGATGGAGTCTCACCATATGTTGGCCAGGCTGGTATTGAACTCCAGACCTCAGGTGATCCACCCGCTTTAGCCTCCCAAAGTGCTGGGATTACAGGTATGAGCCACTGCGCTCAGCCTTAACAGCATTTTTAAAGGAGTTTAGATAAACATTTTGAAATAGATCAGGAACTGCTTAATATCATATCATGTAAAAAACGTGTATGATACAATTCTTTTAGAAACAATGAGACTATATACAGCAAACACTGAATGAAGCTCATACTATTTTATTGTAATTTGACTTCTAAAAATTTAACCTAAAGACAATATTTAAAGTAAAGCAAAAAAAAGCAACAGTACTGTTTTTCCTTACAGCACTGACTATGATATATTTTTAAAAGTGGAGAAAAAGCTACCTATCTGACATTAGAATTGCTTAGTAAACTATGGTACATCAGCACAGTAAAATACAAGAAATTAAAATAATACTTAGGGCTGGGCCTGGTGGCTAACACCTATGATGCCAGCACTTTGAGAGGCTGAGGCAGGAGGATCATTTGAGCCCAGAAGTTTGAGGCTGTAGTGAGCTATGATCATGCCACTGCACTCCAGCCTGGGTGGCATAGTGAGACCCTCTCCCTAAATACCCTCACACATACAAACAATGCTTTGTATTTAAATTCGATAGAATGTATTACTAATCATAGTTATAGCTTTAATGAGTTTGTGGTGGACACCATAAACTTGTTATCTAATTTCTAACTTAATCTTCTGCAGTAGCAATGGGGTAGGATTATTG